GACCCTGGTTCAATTTCTGGGTCAGGAAGATCCGCTGGAGCAGGGATAGGCTACCCACTCCAGTATTCTTGGGCTTCCCTGGTGGCTCAGCTGGTAAAGAATCCACCTGCAATGTGGGAGACCTGGGTTCGATCCCTGGGTTAGGAAGATCCCCTGGAGAAGGGAAAGGCTACCCACCCCAGTATTCTGTCCTAGAGAATTCCATGGACTATACAGTCCATGGGGTCGCAAAGAGTCAGACACAACTGAACAACTTTTACTTTCTGGACCCTCTAGTCTTCTTTGACCTCAGACAAAGCTGTTGTTCAGTCGCTAAGTCATGGCCAACTCTTTGCAGCCCCATGAACTGCAGCACGCCAGGCTTCCCTATCGTTCACTATCTCCCTGAGTTTGCTCAAACTCATGTTCATTGTGTTGGTGATGCCAACCAACCACCTCATCTTCTGCAGCCCCCTTCTGCTGCCTTCAATCTTTCCAAGCATCAGGGTCTTTTCCAATGAGTCAGCTCTTTGCATCAGGTGGCCAAGGAGCTTCAGCTTCAGCATCAGTCTTTCCAATGAATGTTCAGGGTTGATTTCCTTTAGGATGGGCTGGTTTGATCTCTTTGCAGTCCAAGGGACTCTCAAGAGACAACAAAGGCACCAGGCATGTCATCAGGCTATGTGGAGCGACTGAAGGGCAGGTCCCGGCTAGTCAGAGCGTGACAAAACGTGGTCCACTGGAGAAGGGAATGGCAAACCATTTCAGTATTCTTACCTTGAGAACCCCATGAGCACAATGAGATGAAGTGCAAGGGCACAGACCATCCACTTTTGGGGGTGACCTCCGTGTCATTCCCCGGACCGCAGGCATAGCCTGGAGCCCAGACTTCTCTTCTCCTTCCCACCTGACTGCCTCCCTGCACTGGCTGGAGCCTGTGTCCTCAAAAGTCAGACTTTGCAGGGGCCTCCTTGGTGATCCATTGGCTAAGACTTGGCATTCCCAAGGCTGGGGGCCTGGGTTCAATCCCTAGGCCTAATCCTAACCCTAGATCCCACGTGCTTCAACTAAGACCCAGCACAGCCAAATAAATAAACATATTTTTAAAGAACTCAGATTTTCCAGGAATCAAGTCTGACCTTGGCCTAATTTTCTACTCATTTGTGGTGTCCTTTTATCACTGCCACCATTATGTTGTTGTCTGCAGAAAGTAGCACCTTTCCAGTTGTGTTGACTGGGACCTGCAGTGAGAATACATCTCACATCTTGACTTAATGTACGCTCGCACACACCAATCAATGAGACACAAAGCCTCAGGCAGGGATATAACCCTTACTGCGTGGAATATAATCAGATAGATTGTATTTATTTATTTATTTTCTATTGTGCTGGGTCTTCATTACTGTTTGGGCTTTTCTCTAGTTGCGGCGAGCAGGGCCTACTCTCTAGTTGCAGTGCATGGGCTTCTCATTGTGGTGGCTTCTCTTGTTGAGGAGCACGGGCTCTAGGGCGAAAGGGCTTCAGTAGTGGCAGCACGTGGGCTCAGTAGTTGTGGCTTAGGTGCTCCAAGGCCGGCATGTGAGATCTTCCTGCAATGGTGGGCAGATTCTTTACCATTGAGTCACCAGGGAAGCCCTATTTCATTTCGACCTGCTGAATGGATTCCCGCTACATTACCACGTTAGTATGTCACAACCTGTGGTTGCTGCTTTTGAAAAATACTGCCCTAGAGCAGAAATATCCAGTCCCACAAAGCACGAAGATTCTATTTTGGAATAACTCAATAACTAACATTTTCTTGGGATTCACTCTGTCGGGTACTCATAGAATTTTATGTGTATTAACCTCACAACAATTCTCAATGTTGGAAGCCATTATCAGCATCCTTGTTTTTCAGATGAGGAAATGGAGGCACAGAGAGGTTAAGTCACTCATCTGAGACCACACAGCTCCACAGGGGCAATGCCAGGCACTTTGGCTGCAGGGAAGGTGCTCTTAATTGCGAATCTTCACCACACTTTCCTTTACCACACCTGGGCTAATGGGCAAGGGTTTGAGTTGGATAATTTTGCACTGCCTGGAAGGAAAGGCCTCTCAGCAAACCGAGCTTTGTGTCAAGACAGGTCATGGAGGTGAGTGTCTGGACCCCCTCGTGGAGGCGCCGAGGAAGTGGTCTCCTCACTTGTACCCCTGCAGTTAGGTGTTCAACTTGGCTCTGGCTACCCTGAGTTAACCCTACTTGTGGGCATGTGTGGGTGGCGGTGGTAAGCACTCAAGGTTGAACAGAGCAAAGATGCTCACTGCATCCGTGAGAAACCACGGAGGCTGGATGGCTGCTGCGGGGGAAGTTCTGCAGGAAGAGGGTAGCAGGCGCAGAAGGAAACGGGTCTGGAGAGCTGTGCGTGCTCTTCTGAGTGCCCCCCAGGGGGCCTCCGGGCCATGTTCTCCACTGACCAGCTCCCTTCAATACCATAAAGATCTCCCTTCCCTTCCATAAAATGGGGCCAGAGGATTTCCCATTCAGGAGGTCACGTGAGTAACACGTGTTGCCTTCCTCACAGCCCAGGTGCCACTTTTCTTCTAGGACTGTTATAAATAAATGCTCCACCATAGCTGGTCCATTTCACTTACGATTCAAAAGGAACTTGAAGTAGCTTCCTCCAAAACACACATGACAACAGTTAAAAATAAAGTGAGAAAGAGAGATCAGAAACTGTAGAGAGGAAGGCAGAAGTCTACTGGGAACTTGAGGGGCCGTGTACTTGATGCTACAGTTAGCTTGAGCTTCCTGGCACTCCAGGCAAAAGAGGAGGGATAAGCCCTATAGTTTGGTCTCTAAAATGAAGTGCACTGGGTTACAGGAAAGTGAAACTTGGTCTCAGACTGGGACATAAACAGTGTGGCATGGGCAAAGAATCGAGGATCTGAAAGCAGACACTGAGTGTGTGGCCCCTCAAAATGATTCAATCTTCCTGAGTCTCAGTTTTCTTATCAGTTAAGTGGGCATGATAAGATTTTTCTTGGGATGCTGTTGTTGAGATCAGAGATAACAATGTGTGAAGTGCATCTGAACACTTGGTAGGCCTCCTGTCTTGCATATTACAAAGCATGATTTGATTGGTTGTCAGCAAATACATAGGGCTTTCCTGAGGACAGTTCAAGTCATAAAGAATCTGCCTGCAATGCAGAAGCCAGAGAAGCAGATTTGGTCCCTAGGTGGGGAAGATTCCCTGGAGAAGGGCATGGCAACCCACTCCTGTATTCTTGCCATGAAAAATCCCATGGACAGAGAAGCCTGGTGGGATACAGTCCATGGGGTTGTAAAGAGTCAGACATGACTGAAGCAACTTAGCATGCACGCACAGAAAATACGTATTCAACGAAGAGTTCTTTTGGATGATGCAAAACCATTCTTCACCTGACTCTTTCTTACAACCAGCTCTGGAGGTTATCAAGTAGTGTTTAAATTACACACAGGCAAAATCAAGGTTGGGACAAGTGTTTGGAAACATCAGAATCTGCCATCAGATACTTCTCTCTGAAATGTCCATTTCTCTTCTGGCTTTGCACAGCCCTGGAGTGGTCCTGGCCTGGTAAGAGTGAGGTTGTGAACCTCAGATGTTTCATTGGGAAAGATGTATACTCCTGGAAACAGACCCAGCATTCTCACCCGTAGGGACCCATGGTCTCTCCTGGCTCCTTCACTGGTATCCAGCTGAGAGACCAGAGCCTGCAGCCCAATTGTTAGAAAACGGGGATGACTTAGTAACCCACTCATCTTGCCCAAATTCTCTCCCATTTCCTGGCTGAACACAGAACTGCCTGTCCTTCCAATGTTGTAGCCAGTGCTGGGCCCAAACCGGCCCTGGAGGTAGCCAGGGGATCTCCTGGGTGGAAGGAACGCCTCTCCAAGCCTCAGTGTTTTCTTCTGTTCAAAGAAAGCAAACAGGTGCTTTCTTTCCCAGGCTGGGTTGTCTGAAGCCACTGTAGTAATCTTGGGGGGCACCGACCCATGCTCTCGGCCCTTCCAAGCCCACAGGCCACTGCTTTCCCTCCAGGACTGAGCACAGTGGGACTCTGAGCTCCAAGTCCACCCCGCTTATCCGCGCCCCCGCCCCCCGCCCCGCCCCGGGAGCCTCCAACTTTCCTCCCTCCAGTGCTGAAATCCTTTGGTGTGTGCATGTGGAAGGTGTGGGACTTTAATGAGCTCTTAGGACCTTGATTTGATTGTTTTCTTTAATAAATAAAAACTGTCAACTTAAAAAAATAGTCACAACCTAAAAGTCAAGAGTTATGTTTTATTTGGTGCAAATTTTTAAGACGTCAAGCCTGGGAGACAGCATCGCAAGTAACCCTGAGAGAACTGCTACAGACAAAGGGGAGGTGGGGGGCGGGGCGGAGGACTCAGATTATATAGAAGTTTGCAACAAGGGACAAGTAGTCTGAACATCAAAAGATTATTATTAATTATTTAAAACCAGATATCTCAAGGAATTTAGCGCTTTTCTGTGTATGAAAAGATGCAAGAGCCTGGGCTCGCTGAAATCATTCCTTTCATATGCATCTCAGCTAGGGGGGCCAGAATCCTGCGTTTTTTCACATGCCCGCGTCCCCCGCCACCCCCACCCCCAACACCCCTAGCTCCTCAGCGCTGGTCTATGGGAGCTTCATCCTTCTTCCTGGGCGCCCTCCGGGCTCAGAAATTCACATTTGGAGGGCCGGAATCGCTGATGGCTGTGACATCTTTGTGTGTTGACACGGCAGGAAACACTCCATTTCTGGATACAGATATAAACTTGTTTTGAAGAAGGGCAAGGTGTAGCTTCCAGAAGCACCTGGGCTGACGCCCCTCCAGCCCGAGACGGAGGGGGGCAGGCGAGGCGGGCGGAGGGTTAGAAGAAGTGGCAGGAGGACCTGCTGTTTTTCCTGTTGCAAGTAAAAAGGAAACAAAGTGGGAAGTGGAGTGTGCGGACTGTCAGCAGGCGGGGCGCCCCCACCGCGCCCCGCCTCCCTCCCTCGAGGCTCACTTGCGCCCAGCGCCGGAGCTCCCAGCGGCTGCCAGCTGCGCCCGGACGGGTAAGCGCTCACCTCCGGCTGCGTCTGGGAGGTGGGGGAGAGGACCGGGGCCAGGGACTTCGGGGGACTTAGGGGAACCTCGAGGAGACGGGGACCGGCTTGCGGACGTCTCCCGGCGCGAACAGCCGGTGCACCCGTGTCCTGTGCACCCGCCCGCGTCTAGCGAGCCGGGCTAGGGGGCGCCCCCCGGAACTTGGGCCAAGGCTGTGCGCGGGGTCGGGGCGCCCCCCGGAGCTTCCGCCGAGAGAGGGGTGCACAGAACCCCCGTGCGCGGGGACTGCATGCCCCGCGGAGTGGGACCCAGGAGCTCCCGGGCCGGAGGCGGTGTACGAGGTGCGCTCCCTCGGCGGGGCAGCCTCTTCTGCACCAGCCGAGCCCAGGGGAGAAGGACAGCGCTTAGCCGAGTGCGCCCTGCCCCGGGGGCTGGCGAGCGGGACCCGGGGCGCCCGGGCTATGCCGCGGGGTGCAGGCTACATTACCTACTGCGGTGCCGCATCCCCCCTGCCCGCCCTGAGCTCCCGTCGAGCCATGGGGAGAGGGATGCACACATCTCCCCCGCTCCCTGGCCCTGCGCGCCCTCCCCAACCCGGGAGAGCGGGACCCGGGGCTGGAGAGAGGCCGGGGAAGGCGTGGCCGGGCGCGTGGATGTGCTGCGGGTCCCTCTCCCGCCCTCCCCGGCTGGGCTCCGGCCGCCGGCGCCGCTCACCGCGTGTTTACTGCAGCGGCGCGGCGAGACCAGCCCCCGGATCTGCGGCTGGGTCCGGGTTACGGCGGCAAAACCGCCTTCAGCTTTGCATTTCCGGACTCTCTTTTTTTTTTTTTCTTTCTTTCTTCTTTTTAATACTCGTACCCGTAATTCAGCCTGAATGAGGCTGCTGCTGCTGCTGCTTTTTTTTTTTTTTAATCGCGTTTCCTGTTTTTATTTAGAGTCAGTCTTGTGCACCGCTTCTCTGAGATCGAGGAGAGAGGAACCGGGGGAACATTTTTGGGGACTGGGACGTGGGGGCGGGGGCACTGTTTTGCCGTCTGCGCCCTGAGCCCTGCTCGGGTGGGGAGATGGAGAGCCAAGAGAGGACTGATAGGAGGCGCTTCGGGAGGGGAAGCGAGTGGGGATGGGATTTCCGGGGTCGGAGTGGGGGGCGCAGTGGGGCAGCCCGTGCCGGCGGCCCATGTACCAAGTTCAAGTTCAGCACCCTTGGGATCTGCCCAGTTTGCATATGGAGCGCTCTGGAGCCGTCGGGTGATTGGGCAGCTTTCATTTCGTTCGGGTGTCCCCAGGAAGGAGGGCGCAGTGGGTTTCGAACCCCACCGGACCATCGAGTGGGGCTTCTTTCCCCCGGGGCTCCTGCAGAAGCCCCAACAGACGCCACCCCCAGAAATGTCCTGCACGCACGGTCACGCGTGTGTGAGGTGTGTGCCTTGGGGCAGGGAGCGGCTTCTGTTCCCAGGCATCTCCCCGGGAAAAGTCCACTGCTCCAGAGACTTTGAAACCGAGGACTAATCCCACTGCTCACTTGCAGAGGGTCTGCACACCCGCCGCTGGCGTGCCTGAGTGCCTCAGTGTTCTCAAGTGAATGGTGCCATAGGGTTTTTCAGATGTATCTTCAGTTAACCATAGGCTCTGAATGAGGGCTCTGTTTGCACTGGAGGAAACCAAACTTGCTGACCCACACGTTTACAATTAGCTGATCCAGAATCCTGGTTCCTTTAGACGCCAAAGCATTTAGTCATCTGATAGTGTTGCTGTTTGCAGATGAAGAAGAATGTATGTCGCCTAACAGTTTGCTTGGTGTTCGGACCTGGGACGTGGAGTGTCCTTTCAGAGCCATAGAGTCTAAAGTACCCACCTGGATGCTCTCCTGTGAAACCCTACTACCCTTACCCACCAGGTCTGAGGGGCATGATAAGTGGGGGTGAAGATTCTTCTGATTTAGGAGGCTGCCAGCAAACACAAGGAGAGCAGAATAGAGCTTTCTCTTCGGGTCTCCCTAGAGCAGAAATCACCAACCCCTTCACATTCTCATGCCCTGCTGTGGCTTAATGTCTTGATGGTGGGATTCTGTCCATCCTGGCTCAGGAGAGCGCTGACTAGCACATGCTGAGGTTCATTCTCTTCTGGTACTTTCAGCAAAGTAGTGGAAAACACCCAGGGTGTGGGGGTGGGGTGGGAGGATGAGTATACTCTTAAAACCTAGTTGGCAGTTGCCAGCTCTAAAGACAAGCCAAGCTTACTTCCCCTCACCTCTCCACCCACCTTTAGAAACAACGCTGCCAATCCAGATGTTTCTGGAATTAGGGCAACTGCCCCAGAGGTCCTTCTGGCCACGCTGATGTCCCTTTCTGGTGGGACAAGTTGCATTTTTGCTGCTTTGGTCCTTGCCCAGGAAGGACGGGTAAGGTGCATCTTTGAATGAGGCTTGAGGCTCCATTCTTTCTCTTGCTTTATTACGGATCCCCCTGGGGGCCAAGGCTAAAAACAAGGCAGGCTGGCAGGGAGAGTATCAGCCCCTGGGGGTGCTTACAAGGCAAGACAATCCGTAAATAGAGACCAGCCTCAGACCTGGTTAGCTTTGCTTTTGTGCCTATATCAAGCGAGATTGTGGGGTGGGGGGAGAATGAGGGAGTATGAGGGGTCAGTTCCTGCTTCACCTTGTTTTTCTTCAATTGCACAGTTAAAGGGAGAAGTGAATGTGCAACTTATGAAGCAATTCCCCTTTGGCTAGCTTATTTTTCAAAACCATTTTTGTTTAGAGAACACCTCCCTCCCTCCAGCTGCTTCTGTGGGTCTGACGGTGGGGCTTAGGGCCCCACCAAGTGTTTCCTTACCGTGGGACCTCAGAAGAGCTCTTTCCGCCACTCTCCAGGGGACAAACACTTTTCCCAGCTGAGCAGTTGGAGGGGCAGGACTGGAGGGCAAGGCTCCCAGGAGAGTCAGGGAGGGTCAGTGCCCTGCTGCCCCCGGGTCAGAGTCAAGACGCATGTGGTAATTAGCCGCCAGCCCATGGAGGGTGGTGGGAGCCTGACTGATTTGGGAGAAAGGAAAGCATCTTCATTTTGGGGCCACTGCTGGTGTTTCATAAATGACAAAGGTTGCAAAACTCCTCCTCTCTCCCTCCAGTTAATGCTAAAACTGAATTTTCTTCAACTTGGTTGGTGGAAATCCCCTGCAATCATATCAGAAATGCTGCCAGTTTCAAGGTGGGGGAAAAAAAAACAATTAAAAAAACTGGGGAGCCTCTCTCTTCACTCTTTTCCTTGCAGAAAAATATTGACTTGCTTTGGGTCATTCCAAAATCTGGCTCCCTCTCCCTTTCCTGGGGACCAGCACAGCCTCTGGGGCCTGAGGTTGGTGCTGCACTGGTGTGGCTTGTAGAACTCTCCACTCCTCCCCATCAGAGATGGTGACCTGAGCCCCTTCAGAGAAGGGCTCTCAGGGCTTCTCCTGGAAGTGGGTGCTTCCCAAGGCCGCTTACTTTCTGAGCTGAGAAGGAGAGTCCTCAGAGTGATGGGTGTGTCTGTTCCTAAAGTGGTATTGCAGTTCACTTGTGCTTCACTCACTTTGGGGGAAATTACTTTTTCCACTTAGAGGAAATGCCAGGAACATGACAGTGGGTGGGGATGGGGGGATGGGCGATGGGAGAGCTGCAGAAAGGGAGTGAGCTGCCTGAGTTGGATTTTACTGTCTTGGGGGGATGCCGTATTCGTTTCCTGTGGCTATCAATAACAAATTCTTAGTTTTTGTGGCCTAAAACAACACAAATGTATTCCTAGAAGTTCAAAATTAAGGTGTCTGTATGGCCTCCCTCTCTCCAGGGACCTAGGGAAGCCTCCCCCCCTGCCTCTTCCATCTTCTGAGGGCTCCAGCTGTTTTTGGCTTGTGGCAGCATCATCTGATCTCTGCCCCTATGTTCACACGGCTCCTCCTCTCTGTCTGTCTTCTCCTCTTGTGTCTCTTAGAGGGACAGCTGTCATTGGATTTGGGGTCCACCTGGACAGTGCAGGATGAATTTATCTCAGGGTACTTAATTACATCAGCAAAGACTCTTTCTGCACAAAGTTAATTTTCCAAATAATTCATAGGTTCTGGGGATGCAGGCAGACATATCTTTAGGGGACCACCGTTCAGCCTACTACAGAAGGATGGGAGTGTGTTTCTTTGGTATTTTCTGGGGAAGGTTTGAGCACAGTCATCTTTGCAGGAAATGGAACGCTCCCTACGTCTGGGCCCTCTGCTTTCCTGTGGGTGACATCAGGCAAGGATTTCAGAGTCACCAGAGGTCCTGTTGTCACCAGCCTTCCTTCCTCCCTCCTGCTGCCCTCTCCCCAGCTTTGTGAACTGGCAGCCACCTTAGAAGTTAGCTCTGCTGTTAGTAGCACCCTCCACAATCAGGGTCCCAAAGGCAGAAAAGAAAATTCCTGGAATTCAAAGGAATTGCCAAGAGACCAAGCTCTTCACCTGCAGGGAATTGTTTCAGCCCCCTTAGTCTTCTCTGGTCCTACCCGACCTAGGACAGCGCTTTCTCAGCTCAGGGCTCCCCACCTCTGTCTGGGGACACACAGCCCCTCCCATTTTGGAGTTTCCTCTCTTGAGAAGTAGGGCTGACTCAGTTTTGTTGCTGTGTCCTCATGTCCTCCTCCTGGGCAGCCACCATTGTGAGGTGGGGCTGGTGGGATGGGGCTGGTGGTGTGGGGAGGGATTTGGGGAGCCCCACTCCTATTACTGAAGCTTGTGAGGGTGGAGGCTCTCTGGAGGGGCAGGGCTCCTATTCCACCTCCCCATCTAGAATTACAGGGGGGCATTGCCATTTTGTGTGTTGGTTGTGAAATCTTGGAGACATATTGTCTTCTCAGTAGGGAAGCAGGTTCATAGCTGTGATACTGAAACTTTAAGTCCTTTATATATAGGCGGGGTGGGGTGCAGAGGTGATGATGGAGGAATTGCCACACGGAAGAAAAAGTACTGTCATTGGAGTCAACCAGACTTGATTTTAATCCCAACCACTTAAAAAAAATTTTTTTTTGATGTGGACCATTTTTAAAGCCCTTATTGAATCTGTTACAGTGTTGCTTCAGTTTTATGTTTTGGTTTTGGGACCTAGAAGCATGTGGGATCTTAAGTCCGCTACCAAGGATCAAACCCACACCCCCTGCATTAGAAGGCAAAGTCCCAACCCCTGGACCACCAGGGAAGTCCCTTCCAACCACTAGGCAAATCATGGAACCCTCTCAAGCCTTAGAGTCCCCAGTTTTAACACTGGAATAGCAATTTTATCCAGAGAAGGCAATGGCACCCCACTCCAGTCCTCTTGCCTGGAAAATCCCATGGACGGAGGAGCCTGGTAGGCTGCAGTCCATGGGGTCGCTACAAGTCAAACACGACTGAGCGACTTCACTTTCACTTTTCACTTTCATGCATTGGAGAAGGAAATGGCAACCCACTCCAGTGTTCTTGCCTGGAGAATCCCAGGGGTGGGGGAGCCTGGTGGGCTGCCGTCTATGGGGTCGCACAGAGTCGGACATGACTGATGCAACTTAGCAGCAGCAGCAGCAGCAATTTTATCACCAGTCTTGAACATTTCATATATAGTCATGTGCAAAGTGCCAGGCACACTTTTATGTCTGTAAAAGAGCTGATGTGTACAGGGTGTGTAGAACGTCTTGTGGAACTTCAGTTCCACGACCAAGGACGGAACCTGGGCCCTCAGAAGTGAAAGTGTGGAGTCCTAACCACTGGATCGCCAGGGAATTCCCACTTTTCCGTTTTTTAATGTGCATTTTTAATTGTGACCAGTGTGCTGCATGCTTATTCTCTCGTTGTGCTCGATTCTTTGCAACCCCATGGACTGTAGCCTGCCAGACTCCTCTATCCATGTGGATTCTCCAGCAAGGATACTGGAGTGGGTTGCCTTGCCTTCCTCCAAGGGATCTTCCCAACCCAGGGATCAAACTCTGCATTAGGCATATCTTTTTCTATCTTAATTTTTTTGTTTTAATTGTGGTAAAATATACATAAAATTTACCATTTAGATCATTTTTTCAAGTGTATTTCATTCTGTAACACTTAGTACATTCACATTGTCATGAACTTTCACTACTATCCATCTCCAGAATTTTTTGTCTTGCAAAATTGAAACTCTTTACCCATTAAACCCTAATGCTCTGTATGCCTCTCCCCACCTCAGCCCCTGGCAACCACCATTCAACTTTCTGTCTCAGAATTTGACTACTCTCGGTACCTGATATAAATGGAATCGCACAGTATTTGTCCTTTTGTGACTGGCTTATTTCACCCAGCATCATGACTTCTGGATTCATCTGCGTTGCAGCATGTGTCAGAACCTCCCCTCCCTTTTTAAGGACTGAATAATATTCTATTGTACGGATGGACTGCATTTTGCTTATCCAGTCAT